GTCAGTGAAAAAAGCACAGTTTGTCTCTGAGATCAGGGCCATCACTGCCCCTAACTCACGAAACTATCCAATCCCTGAGCAGAAAAATCAACCAATCCATGGTTAACTCTGCCCCCAAGAGATCCTACATAAACCACCCTCCTGGTCAGCTGTGGCCTGTTCTCTCCATCTTTGTAGAAGCAGCAACTTTCCTGGACTCCTCTTTCCCAAATAAAACTCCTTCTCAAAAGAGTCTTGGGTGTGAAGATCTTCATTCATTGGCTCAGAGAAGAAGATTGCTAAGATGTCCCATAGTGGACTGAGCAGAGAAGACCTTGTTGAGATGTCCTTCAGGGGACTGAGCAAGGGGAAGCTGAACAGAAGAACCTTGCAGAGACGACCCTTAGGGGACTGAGCAAGGGGAAGCAGAAAAAGTAACTTTTCACTGGAGCTGGAGGAGATTGCCACATTTCTGCAGGAGTTTCCCCTTTAGCAGAGTGAAGCAAAAGAAGCAACATCTCCTCGGGCCAGAGAAGAAGCAGGGCTCTGCAGGGAAGCCCACTTAAGTGGAAGCTGAGCAAAGCTCAGCTGTAGCAGCTCTCCAGGAGAGGAACAGGATTGTCACATCCTGCAGGGAGACCATCTCCCATCACACCAGGTATAGCCTGACTCCTGAACAGTCAGAGTACCTTTCCCTGCTGAGCTGTCCTTAGCAGCTCTAGGCCTGACTCTCCTGAGCAGTCAGGATACCTTTCCAGAGCTGAGCTGTTCCACTCCAGCTCCAGCTGTCAGAGCTGTCCTACCAGCTCGAGGTATCCAGGGTATCTTTCCCTCTAGAGCTCAGCTGTCTCAATGCAGCTCAAGTTGCCAGAACTGTCCTAACAGCTCAAGGTGTCCCCTGACTCCCGAACAGTTAGGATAACTTCACCCCAGAGGTGCAACATAGTTACTTACAACCAGGAAGTGGATAGGAGCTAAGTCCTATGTTCAAGGAGATAAATGAATTAAGAAATGGAATATAGGGAATGGTGACTTCAAGGCAAGATCCTACCCAGGTAAGAGTCCCAACTTGTGAAAAGGAACTTAAAAAAGTTTAGAGCTGGGTATGGAGGGGTACACATTTAATCTCAGCATTAGGAAGGCAGAGGCTGGCAGATCTTTGAGTTTGAGGCCAGGTTGGTCTACATAGCAAGTTTCAAGACAGCTAAATTAGGCAATGAAGGACTTCTAGAAAGCTGGTAAAGATGTAAATGAATGAGAGGAACAGGTCCAGCCCCAGCAAGCAGCAGATTTGGCAGCTTTGGCCACGTGGTTCTGGCTTTAGAGTTAAGGATAGCAAAAACAGGTTATGGAATTTGCCTCCTCTGCTAAAGAAAGCCTCTTAGGTCAGGCATGTATCAGGGGTATCCTGAATGGAGCCCTACAGAGAACATTGTGTGAAGCTGTGAAGTTGAAGCCTGGATTGCCTTGCAGAACCCAACATGTTAGAGATGCCAGACTCATGGGATGGGATACTTGTCAAAGAGAGCTGGTAATGGAGTGGAACCAGCCCAAGAGAAAGAAATGTGTTACAGTCAACAAAACTGAACAGTGCTGGAGATCTGAAGAGCATTTTGACATCAAATACGGAGATGAAGAGTTTGGAGTTGACGCAGCTGAGTTTTGGTCTTGCTTTGGTCCAGTATTTCCTCACTATGCTCCCTTCCTGATATTTTGGAATGGTCATGTATATCCTGGGCCATTATAAATTGGAAGTAAGTGATCTGGTTTTTTATTTTGATTTTATAGGGAATTATATTTAAGAGACTGCATGAATCTCAGAAGAGACTTTCAACTTTAAACATTAATGAGACATGAGAGACTATGAGGACTTTTCAAGTTGGACTAAAATAGATTTTGCATTCTGATATTGTTACAAGCTTATGGGTGCCACGGAGTAGAATATGGTAGGTAGTTTGAATGTAATTGGCCCACATAATCTCAGATAGAGTGGTACTATTAGGAGGTCTGGCTTTGTTGGGGTGAGTATTGCCTTGTTGGCAGAAATGTGTCATTGTGGGGGTAGGCTTTGAGCTTTCCAAGGCTCAGGAGACCACCCAGTGTCTCAGTCGACTTCTTGTTGCCTGAAAGATGTAGGATTCTGAGCTCCAGCACCACATCTGGCTGCATGCTGCCATGCTCCTGCCATGCTCCCCACTATGCCATGATGATAATGGACTGAATCTCTGAAACTGTAATTGAGCCACCCCGGGAAATGTCTTCCTTTGTAAGAGTTGCCATGGTCATGGTGTCTCTTCACAGCAAGAGAAACCCTAACTAAGACAATGTGTGAAAAATGATTAGAAGCAGGACTGAGAGAAGGAAGGGGACTAAGGGGGACAAGGAAAAAGAGGAGGTTATGGAGCATACCAAAGTACCCATGTTTGAAACAAAGGCCTTTATGAAACCCATTATTATGTAGCATAATATATGGCAATAAAAACTTAAAAAGGAAAAACTTCCCTCATGAAGGTTGGGCTAAGACAGCTTTATTTGTATACTCCACAGATACAACAGCAGAACAATGAAAGACTAATGGGAACTAAGAAGTAAAAGACTGAATGATACCCAGTAAGAAAATGCTCACCAAGGGGGTAACTACTCAAGTCAGTATGTGTTGAAGGTGCTGTGATCTGTGCTAGTCCAGCACCTGATGAATAACAGCAGTAGTAGAGACAATCTTGAAGTGGGAATAGAAGCAGTATTTAACAGTGACACGTACTTATAGGGTGTCAGGCACTGTTCTAATACTTCACACGGATCAACTAATTTACGCTATTAACTCAAGTGTTTAGGCCAGGGTCAAACCATTCTGAGGTGAATCATGGCGCTGCTATTAATGGTCCACGGCCTTAGACAGTCATTGCCCATAAGTGTGTTTTAGCTTCCCCAAGCCTGATCTGGTCATTAGAAGACATAATCTAAAGAGTGATATAGGATTCTCTAATAGTTTTAGAGTTTTCTCAGCATGAACTACACATGGGTTTAAAAAACACTATTATGAAATTTAAAAAACCCTCACACTAGTTTCAAGTTTCAGGTCATCCCTTTTAGAGATGGCCGTGTGATCAGTCCTGTATTGCCTAAAGTGAATGGTGTTGACAATGGCATATGGCTGGGGAGTCTTCCAAAGAAATGGCTCCACACAGCCTTCCTCTGTTCTTTTCTCTGCCTCTAAGGTCACAGTAACAGGAGAGAAAATCTGGGATGCACACCATCTGTTCAGACTGTTCCCTCACTGCTCTTTTCTCCTGTTCCTCAGAGAACTTCACACTTGGCCAACACTGCTACTAGAAAGGGCAATGGGAGGAAACCAAAGTTGTCTCTACTATAAATGTGGCAGCTGAAATGAATGCTGCTTCTGAGGTCTGTGTTTTCAGATCACACCATGAGAAGAAAAATTCACCTTTGACAGGAAATTTAAGACAAAAGTCTGACACTTTTACAGGACTTCTCAAAACACAGATGTAGCAACTTTATACCGCGCTGTTTAGATGGTATCTAAATTTCTCACAAGACTATGAAAGGCATCATTTTCCCACTATTAGTATAGTGGCAATAACACACGCTAACAGCATTCAGGAAATCTTGAATCCCTTCAAATCCTTTTTCTACAACAATAATTTTAGTCCTTAAAACAAGGCTGCATGACAATGTCTAATATTATTTCCACTTTGAAGTAGAGGAACCATATGCAGAGAAGTTAAATAAAAAATTGCTGAAGGAAACAGTACTTGTCACATGTACAGTTGGGATTTAAAAGCTATGACATTAATTTCTATGGTATGCTATCTTATAAAGAAAAAACTCATTATACACTAACTTTGGAGTTTCTATCACAGTTTGAAAAATAAGGTGTAAACATTGTGAAAACACTCCCACTCACCTAACTAAAACTGAACCTCAATAAGAAAGTTCCTCCATAAGTTCAGGGTGTAACCAAACCTGTAGAGCATTTTATTAATTAGTGACTATGGGGGAGGGCCAGGCTCGATGTAGGTGGGGCCTTCCCTGGGCAGGAGGTTCTGTGTTCTGTAAGAAAGTAGGCTGCCTGTAAATTGCCTTTGTTATGCTTAGGTATGTCCCTAGTATCCCTGATTTCTCCAATACTCTTATCATGAAGGGGCATTGGATTTGTCAAAGGCTTTTTCAGCATCTAATGAGATGATCATGTGGTTTTCTTCTTTCAGTTTGTTTATATGGTATATTACATGTATTCATCTATATGCTCCACTCAAAGCAGTGCCAGACACCAGCCTTTGGCAAGTATCTTCTCAGTGACTAAAGCTACTGCTTTGGCCTCAGAAAACACTAATTTTTTTTTAAAATAAATTAGAATGATTACTTCTGATGGGGAGAAATAATTTTCCAGGAATGAAAATAAAATTCCCTGGGAATAAATTAAGAGCAGCATTACCAAAAAGGGTCGTGGGCATTGTGAACAGCAATCAAACTGTCCAGAGTTCATTTGGGCCACAGTGCCCTTGCCCATGTTAACGTCTGAGGAAGTTGCTTATCTTAGCACACGTGAGACAAACAAGAAACTGAAGCACTTGTTAAACATGGCTCAATATCTCTATCCCTTAGCAATCGATGGGATATTTGTGCTGATGATTATTATGACATCTAATCCTAAGTGAGCATTTAATTAGACGACTCAGAAACAAATATAACTTCAAACAGAGTAGCAGGACTCTATCTTTAGATTAATTTTGTGCCAGACTATTGCATAACAGAATGGCAACACATTCACTTACGAGAGCCCAAGTTCCTTCTTTCATATTATCAATAAAAGGCATATTTTTGAACTTATCCTTAACTGGTATAGAAATGATAAGGGATAATAGGCTTCCACAGCCCATCCTGGTAAGTGCTGGGTGCTAAAACTATGTTTGACATACCTTTACTCATGTATAAGTTAGTTAAGGTAAACTTTACAACTGAGACACATTATTTATGAAATTAAGTTCATTGTCACCAACCTTCCCAAACTTGTGTTTTAGTGGAAGTCCAGCATTCTGAAATGCCAAAATAATATCAGGTTTGTAATCTTGTATAAAAATTCCCAGGTCGACATCTTTGCTATAAGGAATAATACTGCACTGCCGATACCATCCTAAAAAGGGGAAGAGGATAAAATATGTTAAAATTATATTTGGAAGATTAGTTATTATCATGAACAAACTTTATAGTAATGGCTATCATTTCATAAGGTTGTGCTTGGGGTTCTTTATTAAAATTATTTTTTAAAAGTTAAATCCCAAACTAAACCACTTGGTTGCAGTAGTTACCTTGAAAAATCAATCTCCTTGCTTTTTTCCCTCCCCACCCCTTCCCTCCCTTCCCTCCCTCTCTCCTCTCCTTCCCTCTCTCTCTTCCTTCCTTACCCTGGCCTGAGTGCTCAGCTTCCTCAAAAGTTTGAATGAAGACAGACATGGTGGCTGACACTTTTAGGTCAGCCTGTTTGGTCTACATAGTGAGTTTCAGAACAGCCAGGGCTACACAGTGAGATCCCGTGTAAAAAAAAAAATTTCAGGATACATAATAATATCTGAGTAGATCATTAGCTTTAATAATGTATTAATTGGTCCATTCACTTAAACAATTGCTGTTCAGAGTGTTTAAACATTAAAGTTTAATGATCGAGACTGCTTTAAGATGTGCTAAGAATATTTAATTCTTTAAATATTTTCCTGAATCCATAAACTATAGTGTTTAACAGCTCCCACAGCTCATAACTGATGGGTCACATAAAAGATCTTTTAAGGTATGATATGCAGTGCACACCCAATGCTATTTCTCGGTGTTTCTTGTGTATCTACATCTGGTTTAGACGCCTCAACAACGGACTGAGAAAGCTTACACCTAAACATTATTAGTAACTCCCCAGTCCTCCCTACCAGCTTCTAACCTTTCCACTCCAACAGCTTTTAAAGTATGTAAGTGTCTATAGTCAGCCCAGGAGGCATTGCGATTACAAAATATGATTTGGAATTTTAAAAGAATTCTAATAAACAATTATGAACTATTAAAAATGAAGGGTTTGCCTCTCAATAGAGGCTGAGACAGGTGGATCTCTGAGAGCTCAAGGCCAGCCTGGTCTACACAGTGTTCTAGGTCAGTGTTGCTACATAGTAAGACCCTGCTTAAAACAAAACAAAACAAAACAAAACAAAAACATTAAAAAACCACCAAAACCTAAAAATAAAGGGGTCCTTAAATATCATTTAATACACAATATCATCAAATATAACTCTCTTATTTTATAAATGAAATAAACCACAAGGGTAAATTTCAAATCAAACGACTAAGCATTTTTAGCTACTAAATATAAAAACAAACATGATTGTATAAAAAGGTTTTAAAGTAAACATGCACACACAAAAGATTACCATGTATTCTTTTATGGCCTTGAACTTTTTTTTTTTTTTTTTTGGTTTTTCGAGACAAGGTTTCTCTGTGTAGTGTTAGTGCCACTCCTGGATCTCGCTCTGCAGACCAGGCTGGCCTCGAACTCACAGAGATCCGCCTGGCTGTGCTTCCAAGAGCTGGGATTAAAGGCGTGCCACCACCGCCGCCTGGATGGCCTTGAACTTTTGAGCCTCCCGCCTCTACCCCCTGTGCTAAATTAAAAATGTGTGCCTCACCCTGTCTAAGCATGTAATCTCTCATATAGCCCAGTATATAGGACAGGCTACACCTGTTGTACCTGCATAATTATTTAAGGCATTTCCTTTCAGTCTCAAAGTGTCCTGAATGGGAAAATAAATTCTATGGTAACTTTAAAAAGCTGAACTAACTGGAATTAACTTTTCTACAAATACAGTCACAATTTTAAAAAAATACAGATACAATTATAATCAACTACAATAAAAATTGAGAAGGAACAGATAAATGCAACAATCTTAAGGATCTAAACAATACTAAAGTCCAAGAAGCTGACGTAATGAATGGTGTATCCGGAAAAATTTCTCAGATTCTAATAGTTGCCTGCTTAAAACTACAAAAAGCATCTTTCCCATCTCAGGTGAACAGTGATGCCTAACCAGTGATGCTCTCAATGACCTGGAAGTTATGGATAACCTTAAAGCATGCCTGTCAATCTTCCTCTCACTAGAAATGTTTCCTGCAATATTTCAATTTAAAGCAATAATAATCTTGAAGATAGAAATAGCAAAATGCTAATTTAAGGGTTACCTGAAAACCAAACATACTCTACATGTCTGATGTAAATTTGTACACATAATTATATCTTTTAGTAAATACAAGTGACCTTATGATTCTATATTATAGATTTGGAGAGATGGCTCAGCTTTAGGAGCACTGGCTGCTCTTCCAGAGGACCTGAATTCAATTCCCAGCGACCACATGGTGGCTCACAACCATCTATAATGGGATCTGATACCTTCTTCTAGCACGCAGGTGTATATTCAAATAGAGCACTTCTCTACATATAATACATAAATAAATAAGTCTTCAAAAAGATTCTATTTTATATTTCATCAATTACTTTCTTTAAAGGAGTCAACACATCTTTGCTTCTACATTAATGTTTGTTCAGCTTATAAATATTATAGTTCCAATATCACTGATGTCTGATCACCTCAAACATTCACTCCTAAAGTCAAAAGGAAGAGATGGAGATAAAAGGAAAGCATTTTTACCTAGACAAGTTCCACTGCTCAGCCAGAAGGGCACTTCCAATTCCTGTAATGTTTTGGCGGCTAGTTGCAGTAATTCCTTTGCCCTCTTCCGAAAGGCCATAGCATCCACAGTGTTATCCACAAGGTAATGCTGTAAGTTTAATAAACAATTATTTATTATAACAATCCCTAAACTGTTAGAAACTTTTCTATGATATCTGAATTAAACTTGGAAATTAACACTATCTTTTTTCTATTGCAAAAAATCCAAATGTAAGGGACTTGGGTGGCTCAGTGGCTTTGGATTCTCAACACCCATATAAAAGCTGGGAGTGTTGGTGTGGGTCTGCGATGCCTGTGCTGTGGGGGTGGCAGAGAAAGGAGACAAACAGATCCTGGAGCTCCTTGGCCAGCCTGTCTAGCCAGTCCATCATTTCCAGGTTAAGTGAGAGACACTGTCTCAAAAAATAAGGTGAAGAAGTTGTGGACTGCTGTTAACGTGCCCAAGCTCTGGTGCATGGCCCCACTCCCACGTGCATGTAGGAAGCACTAATTGGATTCTTTGAGTTATAAAAATAAGAAGACATGAAAATGGGAAGGGGGTGTATTGGGCAGGAGTACAGGGGAGCTGGGAGTGGATATAATCAAGACGTAATAGAGGAAGACACCTAGTTCCAACCTCTAGCCTCACAGACACAAGTGCACAAGTGTGCCCACATATCTACATACAGGCACAAATGCATATACCCCACAAGCCCAGAAATCAAAGTTTATAGTTGCTTCTTAGTCACACATAAAAATAATTCAAATAGATTCTAGGAGCAGCCAGGTTAAGAGGAAGAAATTTAAATAATCAGGATTCCCCAACGATGAGACTTGAAACTGTTATCTGTTTCCTCTGTACATCAGAAGTTAGCAGGCTGGGCAGTTGGGAGAAAAGAAGAGCTAATTACAGAGCCAGGAGCATTATTTAATCCAAATAGATTAAATGATGTATTAGATGCAATTGTTTACTTGTCTTTACAGATTGGGTCATCAAGCAGAAAGACACATTTTGAATCAGACCATCTGTGTTGGACTCTAGGTCCATCTCCTTTGGGATGGGCAGATCATTTTACAAGAGTGTAAGCTCAATCAGGAGGGGACGTTTGTTGGGGTATTGTAAAAAATACCCCAGTGTCTAGAACAGTATTTCTACATCTGAAAAATGAACAACAGAATGGAAGAAACAAATTTCACTGTGGTTAATGTCCTCATTTATAACTTAAAGATAATAACTATGCTTTATACAACTATTTTACAGATTGGATTGAAAGCCCTTTTGTAAAGTATAAAGATTTATGCTAATGTTATCTTTTACTTAGTCATTTTAATTTCTGATTTAGTACATTTCATTCTGTAACTGAACAGCACGAATTCTTCAGTGATATGTCACTATGGAACAAAATATAAACTACTTGGTCTAGCAGACCAGGGACACAGGTCTCTGGCTATTGTCTGGCCTTATCACTAGCCTCTTCTTATATGTCCTGTTATAATAATAAAATATAATTTCTCCAATATACCATAGCCTTTCTAGTCTATGTGAGTTTATATGTTGCTTTCTTATTCAGTATGACTCTGACTAACAAAATCATGTTTCAGCTCCAACCTCTGAGAAATATCCTCATTTCCCTAAAAAGACAGATGAGTGTGTTTCCCCAATGTTTCCGTTCAACATTCCATTCAATACATAAAGCCAAGCAAAATAGTCAGCTCCTCCATGAACTTACAATGGTTGCCACTTACACAGAAGTTTTAAGTCCCTAATTTATTTTTTACCATTTTATGTATATGAGTTTTGCCTGCATGCATGTCTGTGCACTATGTCCATGCCTAGTGGCCGTGGAGGAAAGGAGAGAACATCAGAACTCCTGGGAATGGAGTTATAAACTGTTGTGAACTGCCATGTGGATGCAGGGAATCAAACCCAGGTCCTCTGGAAGAGCAGCCAGTGCTCTTAATCATTGAGCTAGTCCTCTGTCTTTTTAATTCTTATATTTAGTTGTAACTGTTGGTTTTGTGTCATTTCCCAGTGAGGCTGTAAACATATGAGAACAGGTACTGCATTTCTCCCTCACTGAATCAACAGCTTTAGAATGCCACCTGGTACAGAGTAGGTTAGCAACAAATACTGGTGAGTGGCTAAATGAAGAAATGACTGTAGCTGTAAGGTTTCTCGGGTCCCACCCGACCTTGAGGTCCTGCAGATGCTTATAAAATAATCACTCAGAGGCTTATATTAATTATAACTGCTTGGCCATTAGCTCAGGCTTATTACTGACTAGTTCTTACACTTAAATTAACCCATAATTCTTACCTATGTTTAGCCACGTGGCTTGGTACCTTTTCTCAATTCTGCCTTGTCATCTTGCTTCCTCTGTGTCTGGCTGGTGCCTCCTGACTAAGCCCTTCCTCTTCCCAGCATTCTTCTCATCTGCTTGCCCCACTATACTTCCTGCCTGGCTACAGGCCAATCAGAGTTTTATTAAACCAGTGTACAAGAGCATTATCCCACAGCAAAAGACTAACTCTGACAGTATCCTAAATATCATGTGATTTCTTCTCTTTTACAACAGAACAAGAGAGTATATAGTTCACAGAGACATGTCCCTGGGACTATAAGGAATAGAATTGCTACATGGATCTTGAGGGAAGAAAGAGTATCCTATGAAAGAAAGCTCCCTGCAGGAAAGCAGTTTTTATGGATTAAGCAAATTATACAGAATATCCTGAAATAAAATATCCCTTTCCTTAGTCACTATTTCTTTTAGAACAAATGACTGGAAAGAGGTCCATATTTTTATGCTTATTCGAAGAGAGAAT